CCGAGCAACGGCGGACACCACGGAACACCGCTAGGGCCACCGCCGAACGGACGGATGGAGGAGAAACATGTGTCTTGACTTCGCCCTAGCAACGGCGGGTTCATTCCTCTTGCGCGCCCACGCAGCTTCGCCTCGCCCGCACGCACGACACGAACGAAACGAAACGATTTCCCGGTTGGGGGTCTCCGTTCCACTGCGATCTCACCCCCCAACCTCCGATCCTTGGACCAATTTTTCTGTCGCCCAAAATCCGCCTGTAGGAGGACATGCCCGACCCAATCCTAGGCCCGTGCGGTTTTGCCATCGAGGCATGTCGCCGATCGCGCCGCGATGCATTGCCGATTCCGGGCCGAGGTTGCCCCTCCCCCCGAGCCGGTCCCCCCCGATCGTTCCCCGTGACCCAACCAGGCCCGCCAGCTCTGAGAGGTTTCGGATCTGTCTCGGTCCGACGTTTGTTTCGTCCCGACCTTGGATCTGTCTCGGTCCGAGGCCGGTTCCGTCCTGACCGCGTCAGAGGCCCCGGTGTTCCCCGCCAGCCAATGGCCCCTGGGGGGCCCACAGGAGCCCCGTGCCACCCCGGGAGGCTCCAAAAACTCGACGACGGACGTGGCTGTGGCAAGATCTCTTACGCATCGTAAGTGTAAGTGTCTACTGCTCTTCCGCCTCCTCCTCCTCCTCCTCCTCCTCTTCCTCCTCCTCCTCCTCCTCCGCCTCCTCCTCCTCCTTCTGCTCCTGCCTACGGGCAGAACGGTTTCAAACCGCCCCTGGGTGCGCAGTTGAGGTGGGATTCTTGTTGCTTGTGGTGCCGTCGAACCGCCCCCCCCGAGACCGCCCCGCGACCCGCCCGGCGGCCCAGCCCGCGGCCCGCCCCGCGGACCGCCCCGCGCCCCCGCCCCGCGCCCCCGCCCCCGCCCCCCCTCCTGTCTGCACCTGCGGGGCGCTGCGCATCTCAGGCCCGCCAGCTCTCAGAGGTTCCCCTTCTCTCGCGGCCCGGCGCTGGCCTGAAGCCGGGCATGTCCTTGCACAGGAGGAGTACTCAAAAACATGCAACAGATCGTATGAGGGCCATGTTCCTATTATCTTTGGCCATTCTTGAATGTGTTTTTCCCGTTTTCATGTCTCTTCCACCGTCCTCCTGTAGGGGGACATGCCCGACCTAACGCTAAGTCGGGCCTGTCCCCCAACAGGGGGGTCTTCGACGAAAAAAAGTAAATATAAAATTAATGTCTTGATTATTTCGGGGGTATGTTTTATTTCTCGTCGAAAATCCCTCTGTAGGGGGACAGGCCCGACCTAAGCCTAACGCTGGCCTCGCGTTGGGCCCCGTCTCGGGCCCTCGCGCTGCCCGCGGGCCCGGCCGCCGCGGGCGGCGGGCGGCTGCCCGAGAGGCCGCCCGCTCCCGTCGTTCCCGCGGGCGTCGGTCGCGTCGCTCCCCCGCGCGCGCGCGTGCGCCACCGTGCCGTCGGCGCCGCGCGCATCCCGATGCCGTGGGGCACGGGGAGCGCGGGCGCGAAGAATATGAGGGGAACAACAAGTGACATAAACATAAAAACTCGGAGGTCCGCGCGGATTTCTTGGATCGGCGCTGGACCCCCCTCCCTGGCGCGCGGAGCGCGCCAGGGGCGGCGCCGGAGACGCCGCTGGGGGGCCCCAGCGCCGATCCGAGAAATCCGCGCGGACCTCCGAGTTTTTATGTTTATGTCACTTCTTGTTCCCCTAAGTATAATTATACCATCACCACCTCCATTCCTCATCCCTCCTCTTCCCCTCCTCCCGCATGGGGGAAGAAGGAAGCGAAACAAATCATAGCACCACCTGAGAATATATGTTTTAGCCCCGTACAGGGAGTGCGTGCCCGGGGGGCAGGGAGCGACGGAGGCGGAGGCCCTTTGCCTCTTCGGGAATGCTGCTCTGGCTGTGACGAGATGTCTGAGACGGAAACGGATAAGCCGCCCCCAAGAAGTTGATAGTGTTCATTTACTTGTTCGGCACGTACATACTCATCATCTCCTGAAGCGAACCACATTTCTTTTCCGTCATACAACCATACACGATCGAAACAGTATGCAGAAAGCCATTCTTCATCATCGCCTTAATATTACCTGGCTGTGTTGTCACCGCTGTGATCGTCGTAGCAGGCACGTATCATGAGTGTGTCCATCGCTGCCTATCCTTACTTAGCCATTCCATGCATCGTATCAGAGAGAGGGTCTCATACTGTGGCAGATCAAAGTTCATATTCAAGCGAATGTCTTTTGTTCTGGAAAACCAGACCTGGACAGCAACAAGGCGGAAAGACCACCGTCATCGTTGGCGCGTCCGGCGTTGTCACGTGCTTCGTTGCCTTTGAACTCACGACATGTCGATGGATTGATACATCGAAGGGATTGCGCCGCCTCGGAAGTATCACCTTTCAATCGAGCTACAACTGCTCCCGCCAAAGCTTCTGGATTATCGCTGGGGACCGCGATCTTCAACACAAATCCAAACGCTGAAGATA